ATTATCAGGTACCTCTCATCTCCTTCACCCCTTTCATCCCTCTTTCTCTCTCTTTCTCTCTCTATCTCTCTCTCAAGAAAACACACACTCAAGAACACCTTCACTGCACCACCTTCCGCCAACACCAGCATACGCCACCCATCTATTCGTACATTAGAGAAGGAGTGGCGACGACTTTGTTTTGCACCATAGCTTCGGTGGAAAAGAAGGGACAATGGTGGAGTGGAGAAGTCGACAAGGTCTCTTTCTCATATCTGAAAGCCTAGATCTCTTCAATTTCAGAGCTTAGTTTTACTTCATACTATCAAAGAACACATTCATATTTCATACCAGTAATCCAACCTCTAGGGTAGCAATTTCAATGGAATTTCTATCAAACCCACTTTCCATATCAATAATCTCGACCATATCTCTTTTTTTTTCTTTTTTGCATCTATGTCTACAATCAACATAATCATAACCGACTTTATCGAGAAAGATTACTTTTTTTAGGTCAAGAGGTTGATAGCGTGATCTCGAATCAACTTATTGGTCTTATGATATATCTAAGTATCGAGGATGATACCAAAGATTTGTATTTGTTTATAAACTCTCCTGGTGGATGGGTAATATCGGGGGGACTTTTCTCTCAGCCTCTTTAATGCCTAAAAAAGATTTGTCTTATCTTAAGCATGTGAAAAGCCATATCCTATCTAGCAGCAGGGTGGAGAGCGAGACTGACCATTAATTCGACTATTATAGAATCTATTCTAACTCCACTATACAAGAAGGGTTTGGGCCCTTCATTTTGTTTGATGACATGCGCCTTCTTAGAATAAGGCTAGGAGCTATTCTCCAGTGATGGCTGCCTTCACCGTATGAGTGGGATCTTTTCCTAGAAAAAAGGCTTTCACTATAGAGAATTCTCAAGTAGATGTTCCCTGAAGTGGTTGCTCTTTCGAAAGCAATGGTTGCTAGGAATGGTTTTGATGTCTAGCTCTTACAAGCAAGGCGTGAAATGATTCTCTTGTGGAAGAAGACGAAGATGAAGAAGCATCATCAAGAAACCATGTTCAATCAGCCTCTTAACTTCAATTGATGACCTATCTAAAAAACACAAAACTTATCCATATATTAAAAACCAAAAATTAAAGATGTATCCAATGTTCTTACATTTCTCCAGCAATATGAACATGGATCCGTCGTTTCTAAACGCTAATCTATGTTCTGCAAACCCTAGTTTCGAGGGAGGCTTCTACAGACGGCAATGACGACGATGACAGAGGACAACGATCGCGAGTGGTGCGGTTGGTTCGTCAGGTGACACAATAAATCGGAGTAGACATGTGAAGGGGATGAAGGTTTTGTGTTCATCCCCATGATATGGGTTTTTATTAATAAAAAAAAAGACAAAGGGAAAGGGGGAAGAGAAAGAAGACGAAGAAAGAGAGACGATAACAATCATAAGGGAGGTTTCTGGGATCTTGATTTTTGATACATCTATTTTCTTAATTTTGTATGTATGTGTGTGTTTAAGAAGATGAAGT